TCCAGTGTCCCCAGTGCCCTTCAGTGCCCCCAGTGTCCCCACCTGGGCACAGGGTCTCCTCCACAGCACCCAGGCTGCTGCTGCCAGGCCCAGGGCCCCCCCAACTCCCCCCAGCAGCACCAGCCCATGTCCAGCAGGGCTGGGGGGTCCCTGCCTGGCCCCCAAGGTCCCCTCATGCCGCACTGCTGGGCTGGTCAGCGTCGGGCCTGGGGGGAGACAGTGGTCAGCGGCTGCCCTGGGGAGTTTACGAGGGTCTCTCAGGGGTCCCGCGGGGGTACCTGGGTGGCAGCGCAAGCGGGCACAGCCAGGGAAGTGGGGGGGTCTCCCTTGCAGCCTCCCCAGGTGCTGCACCAGGGTCTCCAGTAGCTGCGACACATTCACCGTCTCCAGCCGGACACAGCCCTGGGGGTCCTGGGGGGATGTCATAGGAGCCCCCGGGGGACCCCAGACCCCGTCTGGACCACCCTGGGAAGCCACAGAAACACCCCAGAGTTCCTGCACCACCCCCCAAGACCCCCAGAGTAACCCTGGTCACCTCAGGGTACCCCCAGGCCTCTGCGGGGTTCCCAGAGCCCCTCAGGCCCCCAGGCTCACTTTGGTCTCCCCAAGATCACCCCATAAGTGCCCACCTGGAGCCTACCAAATCCCCCCCCTTCCAGGACTCCCAAGCCCGCTTGGAGCTCCCCGAGGACCTCCACCCACCTGGATGTGACACTCGGACACAAAGTGGAGCTGGACAAGGAGGGTCCTGAGCAGGGGCGCCAAATCCTTCCCTGCCACCCCTAACATTCGCTGCAGAGCCAGTGCCCCGAAGTGAAGGCCCCAGAGGTCAGAGCAGCTGCTGTCCTGGGGGTCCAGGGGAGTTCAGGATTTGGGGGGACACAGGTTAGGGATCAAAGGTGTCAGGGGGTGCAGGAAGAGAGGATTCAGGGGGCACACGTGGAATTCCGGGGGTTCTCACTCACTGGCTCCAGGTTGCTGGGCATCGCCACAGGGTAGTCGAGGAGCAGCCAGGGGGTCTGTGGGAGGGGTCAGGGGGTCCCCAAAAACAGCCCAGAGGTCTGAGGGGGCGCTCAGGTGGTCCCCAACGACCCTTTGGGGGTGAAGGGGTGCAGTCAGGGGGTTTTCGGGACCGAGGGTGGGGCCTTCCCTGGGAAATGAGGGAGTTTTGGTGGGGTGGAGCGCAGGGGAATCCTTTGGGTCTTGGGGGCATCTGGGAAGTCCCGTGAGGACCCCGGAGGTCCGGAGTCGTACCAGGGTGCCCGGGAGGGGGTCCTGGAGGCGGGGGTCTCACCAGGTTGTTCAGGTGGGCGCTGAAGGTGCTGCTGATGGGGTTAAAGCCGAAGGAGCAGCAGCTGCTGGGAGTGGACACGGCCAGAAGGAGCAGCAGCGGCACCTGGGGGGGGGCACCGGGGGGTTCTGGGAGTCCCAAGGGGCTCTCACGGGGGTCCCAGAGGGGCGCAGGTCAAATCTCTAGGAGGGGGGTCCCCACTTACCAGAGCAGAGCTGGGGGGGAGAAAGTCCATGGCGGTGCAGAGCTGGGGATGGCGCACCGAGACCCGCGAGCGCTCCCGGAGGCACCCCCGGGATTACCCCCGGGACCCCTCGGGCCGCGGCGGAGCCGCAGCCGAAAGCGAAACTGGGACCGAGCCGGGAGGGAGCCCAGGAAACCCGAGGGTGCAGCGGGACGTCCTGAGCCTCCTCCT